GTTGTGATTGATGTAAATGAAAATTGTAGCAGAGTAATGCCGATTCAGGGTACAATAGAGGAGAATCGGCTACCGAGAGCAGCAATTCCGGTGAAATTTTCTAGATCGCACACGACGGGGCATACAGTTCTGATTCCACCAGGGGATAACATAGAAAGGTATACTTTGAGATTACCGAAGGAAATCAGGAGACAAATACTGACCCCAGAAGTCCTGAAACGGACGAGGAGCTACAACGCCATTTTCCCCAGGGAAGGTAGTTCGAGGAGGGGGTATAGGAACGGCGGCGGGGAAAGGAGCAGCGAAGGGAAATGGGTATTTTCAATGGCGGCACCGTTTGTTTCCAGGACGGGTTCTGTTATGTCACAAAAGATTGGTGGAGGTGATGGATATGGGTCGAATTTGTGGAGGGGTCCGACGGCTGTTAGCCGTTAAATTGTCTTATTTAGTTCGAAGGTTTTAGCCCCTGGTTTTGATTGTAGGTTGTGAAATTGTAAATAAGATGAGCAAATCAAAAGGTACTCACGATTATAATTATAATTTTAAGATTGGTAGAGGGGACGCAATTAAATATAGTTTCTATTGAAGTGATCAAACTTGTGATTCTTAAAATACATATATTTTAAGTAAGTAATTTTTATATTGATACTCTATTCTCTTAAGAAGTATTTGTTTTTTAACAGGGGGAAACACTAATTTCTGCACTCAAAGGGTTGGTCTACTCTAAATTTTTAGACTACAATTAAGAATTGACTACATTTTAATTTCTTTTTGGCGGCTATTGGTCTAATCCCATTTTATAATTTCCCCTCATTTCTTACTGTCCACGATTCATGCCAAGAATCCAAAATCAATTTTGATTGCCTTTCAAAATTTTAGTCAACTCGTAATGCTAAGGCCTTTGGGGTTGGAGTCTAATAACATTCTATAATTTCCCCCATTTCTGTTCATGTTTCATGCCAAGAACCCAAAATCAATTTTGATTCCTTTTCAAAATTTGGCATGGCAAGTCTACAATCTGCTGTTCAAAAAAAAAAAAAACAAAAACAAAAACAAAAAAGAGTCTACAATCTCATTCAATAGTTTCCCCTTGGAAACAATGACAACCCTTTTATTGCTAACTGGCAGTCGGACCCTTTATATGTAGTGATAAAAGAATGTTTGTTAAGTGATGTTTTTAGCTCCAATCAAGAAATGTATTTATGAGAACACATCATTGTTTGGGTTCTTTTTTTTTTTTTTTTTTGAGAAATTAAGCGAAAGAGGTAATATCTTGAATTAAAAATTAAGATTTAAATGTCTAAACATTGTTCCTTGATCAGTAGGTTATTTGGTGCAGAACATGAGAATACATCATTGCTTCAATTAAGGTTGCACTTGGGTTGTCATGTCAACTGATTCACAGGTACGCTTGCCAGGTTCACAACCTAGCTAGGTTTTATCTCCCTCGCCCACCAAATTGTATCTTGTTCAAAAATTTGTTTTGACTCAATAAATTAACTGAAATTTTATATTTATAATATTATGTAATTAAGATTATAAATTTATAATTATAATATAATATTAAATAAATATAATATAATATTAAGTAAATAAAAATATATAATATTAAAAATAAACTTTAAATAAAAAATTTAATTATATAATAATATATTATATTATAAATTTATAATATTATATAATATTTTTACAATAACGTCGCTTTAGTGGCTAAAGTCCTAGCAAATGCCACAGGTGTGGGTGCCCTTTGCCAGCTAATATGCAACAGCAAGTGCGGGATTCATGTTTTGTGGAGAACAACAGATTTTAGCTACAGCTTTCAATTCTAATTCATTTATTTTTCTTCCTATCTTGGTTTGGTCCCCTACAATACGAGATATCTTGAAATAAAAGGATATGTTGCTGCATAGACTCGAGCCATTCCATTGGCTGTATTCATATGTCATGCAAGATAAATATAAAATAAAATGTTGAGATAGATACTCTAATATTTAAAATTAATAATATTTTAATAATAAAATTTCTAAAATAAAATACTCTCAAAAGTATTAATTATAAAAATAATAATAATTCCTTTAAAGAAGTACTTAAGGGATATTTACAGTCAATAAATCTTAAAGCATGATTCATGTGACTAAATCTAATTAGTTCAAATGTTAGTGCATATCTAAATTGAACTTTAGTTAAAACTTAAAAAAAAGGCTTTGTGGACCTAATTTAGGATGTTGGGTTATCGTTCCTAACCAGACAGATTTCATTCACCTTTTTCTTAATTCAAAACGAAAAAACAGCCATTGCAACTGAGACATGTGCCAAACATCGAATCTTTTAGGATAGGATGATAGGAACGTGTGTTCTTATCTAGTTATCTTAATCGGTGCATGCTGATGTAAGTGTGAAAACCACACAACTCGATTTTCCTTAATGCCCACGGCAATTACAGATATTCTTCAAGTAATTAATTTCCCATATTCCTCCTCTGCATATTCCCCGCCGTCTTGGGGGGCAAAAAACAACACCAATGCATGACCAAATCTGGAGATGTACTCCAACTTCTACCACAACATGGTGATAGTAGTGATTGTGAAAAAAAAATAATTTCAACATTCGGACAAAAAACATCTATCTTAAAATTAATTGTCAATAAATATAAATTATATTATCTTATATTTTAATAACATAAATTTTATTTATTTATTTTGATATGAAAATTTTCACTTGACATTGCTGGTTCTAGTTTGGTGTGCACTTATTTTTTTAAAGGATACATGTTGGTCAACGTGAAGATGAACACCAAAGACGAAAGAGAGATTGTATCTATAGCTCTTAACTTATGGGTGTTATTGTCCAAGGATGAAGCAAGATTCATAGGACTCATGTCTACCACATAGAAAGGTATATTTGCTTGGCTTGTAATTGTTTTTTTTTTTTTATCAAGGGCAATTTTTGAGGGTAGGGGTATTAAACCAAACCCATGATACATATCATTATCAAGTAGCCTATAAGGTTAAGTATGTGCTTGGCTTATAATTGTTAGACTAAAATTGCAGCTATAAGTTTTTTAATTTTTTTAATACTTTAAAAATATACCAACAACATAAGTAATTCAATGATAATATCCTTTCACTTAAAATAAAAAATTCTAAATTCAAGTTGCATAATATGTAAGTAGGGTGAAATAAAGATTGGAGATAATTGTCTTTCGTTGTACAACCAATATAAAAAAAAAAAATTTAAAATATGTAAAATATATTTAATATTTATCTTAATTAACATTTTATATATTATTAAAATAATAAAAAAATATAAAAACAAAAGGCTAAAGTATTGAAAGCGGTTTTCGGAGAAAGTTTGACAAAAATGATATAAGCAGCACTGTTTGACAGTCTGCCAATCTCACACCCAACCAACCAAGTGCCGAACTGCAACCCGTTTGGGTGATCTGCTTTTTTATTGGGGCCCAACACAAAATAAAGAGTGGGCCCGTATTGTTTTAGTGATTGGGATCGCCCAACGATATAATGCATCTTCCTCTGCATCTCTTGTTCAGGGGCTAATGGACTGAGGTTAGGCCCATTCCAATATTTTTTTTTGTAGCCCAAACCTAATGTATTCATAATTCATTACAAGTTCCACTTTATTTTTCTCCTACTCTTTTTTGTCTTCTTGTTACTAGATTAGATTAAAAATAGAGGCAAACGAATTCTCCCCTTGAAATTATTATTATTATTATTATTATTATTATTATTGACTTTATCTATTTATCACATTTTTTTCTTAAAAAAAAGTCGATTGCATATATTTTTTTTATTCTTTTATTTATTCTACTTACATATTTGAACTCAATTCATAATCTCTTTTATTTTATTAGAATAGAATTATTATTAAATCACTTAAGTTATTGGTTTATTCAATTTCCCTCTTTTGAGTTCTTTTTTTTAAAAAATAATTCAAAGATAATTTTTTTATACAATATTACTATCATTTAAATAATTGATTTTTTTATTCACCTAATTAAAATTCATAATATTAAATGTATTTAATCATTGAATAACATAGAAAAATTATATAAAAAAAAAATTATCTCTGTATCATTCTCACTTTTTGCTTTTTGGATATGGAAAGTTATTTACTTAGCATGTACAATGGTTTAAAGTTTGAACCTTATTAATCTTAACCATCAAATCAATATTTTTTCAGTTAGTGAATACTAACTCTCGTTCTGAGTTGATGTTCATATAATTTATGTTGCTAAATGAAATTTAAATTAAACAATACCGAAGAGAAACTCCTCTCCCTCCACTCTTATCCTTAGGGTAAGGGCTTTTTCTTTTTGATCTATTAGTTGTGGGGTTTGTGGTTTTGTTTAGGGTCTGTTTTGTTTCGGGGACCGGGGAGGCTGGTCGGAACTCGCCATGAGGGAGTGGAGGACTTAGTGGGGCAGAAGGCGCGGGGTGCGCCTCTCAGCGATGGAGGGTCAGGCGTTGCGTTAGGACTGTGGTTTTGGGATGTGGCGGTGGTCTTCGAGGTGGAAAAAACGCCAATGATGGAGGGTACACCGGGGGTTGGAGGCAGTGGATGGTTGATGGTTGAAGCGGCTGAGTCTTTTTCTGGTGACATGTTTTTAGGGGGAAGATGCATGATGTTTGAGGATTTGATGTCTAATTTTTTCAGGAGGGTAGCTTTGATTTTGAGACGTTTCCTATTTTCGAGCTATCTCCTTGTAATGGAGTTTTGACCCCAATTTTTAGTTTCTTAGCTTTGCTTATAGTGGTTCGAACTACGCAATAATTGAACTACGCAATGGGGTTAACTTGAATTGCGCAATAATTGCTCCTTCGGAGACCACGTCGGAGACCATGTGAGATTTGGAGACAGTGACGCTATACCCTGGTCATCAATGATATTTGCTTTTCTGAAAAATAAAAAAGTTGTGTTGCTATTATTACACCTATCACTTAATTGCATTGTTGGTTGAAAGATTTAGTACGGTTTAAGAGATACTTTTAAGCAACGTTTTGGCCCCATTAATCCACTTTAATTTATAGTGTATATATATACAGTTTATATCTCCAAGCTAGGGAGATGAATCTATAAAAGCTAATATTTTCATGATAAGGACATGACATTTCTATAATTTTATTGTCTAAATGAAGAAACAATAAACATAAGATTGAACCAACACTAATTACTTGTGTTAATTGTGTGTGACCAATGAATAAGAAATGGATGATTAACTTCCAGAAAACAGTAGTTGCAGGGATCATGTCTGCAGTTAGCTCGATTGATTCTTTCATTGTATGTTATCATCTCAATCAGTAAACAATTTTCCATGGGTTGATTATATTAGCCTCGTTAGTTCTGTCTAGCGGTCTCTTTGGATTTTTATTTTTATTTTTTTGGTTTTTGTACAAATTAATTAGATTGTAAGAAGAATATACCATGTGGTTAAGTTGCAATATTACAAAGAGCCATCAGTTTAAAAAGTTGTGATTTATTTAGTAAAAGAGTTTATTTTTAATTTTATTAATTAAGATTTAATTCTTTTAAAAAAATTAATACGAATTTTTTAATTCTAACCTTAAAACACTCTAACTGTTAAAAAAAAAAAAAAAAGAGCCACCTTTACATGACAATTAAGGGGAACGAAACGAATTGGAGCAAACATAACAATTAACAGTGTCACTTTATCTGGCTTATAAAAAAAAAAAGGAGTGACTTTATTTATAAATATAAATTTGTTATAACTAATTAATTTTATTTAATATTTTATACATTTTTAATAATTTTAATGAACAAAGTACATGTCAGCAGAATTTTTAAAAAATTAAGAGAAAAATATTTTAAAGCTATGTCATTTTAGTAAGTTTTTATTAAAAAAATTAATATAACATATTTTTAAAATAAAAATGTGATTATTTTAATTTTTTATATATTGTAATCTTTTATATATTGTAATAAAATAACATAATATTATTAAGATATTTTCTCTTTTAATTTTTAAAAAATCTAGCTAACAAGCACTTTACTTAGTTGTAATTAGTATTATATTATTTATGATGATGAAAGGCAACAAACTTATAATTAATTTTTTTATGGAACAAATTTATAATTATAGAACAATACAATGCAACAATTTCAAGCGACCCTAATTCCTTCAGACAAAAAAATTACAAATAATGAGGGGACCGGAAAATATACAGTAAAAAATAATGAAAATAACAATGATGTTTGATTATTAAATCGATTAGTAATAAGTACTACTTTTTTTATTATTATTATTATTTACAGACATGAAGCATGCAAATTATTAACATTAATTAAAGGGTTAGATTCTTATATAAGTAATTAAGTATTGTTTTGAAGTATTCTATAAAACTAAATTTTTTTAATGTATCAAACAAATATATGAGTCAAGATAAAAAAAAAAAAGGAAAAAAAAAAAGCAAATATATGAGTTTAATGCCTTAAAATAGCTAGAAGAAGGATTAATATCATAATAAACAAGTATATTCACCTAAGAGCGAATAGATGAGTTGATAAGGGATTCTTTCAGTTTAACCACAGGTCTTGATTTTAAGTTTTAAAAATGCAATTCTATTAAAACTTGTAAGGGAGAGTTTTGCCGTTCATTAGATCTTGTCCGGTTCGAATCCAGATTAGTCAGTGACCCAGTGAGTTTTCAAATACCGAGTGATCTAAACCAATAAAAAAAGAAAAACTAATTCGAAACAAAATAGTGTTTTATAGACTTATAAATTTATTAAAATATTTTTAATGAAATAACAAAATATATAATTTTATTAAAGATGTTTTAATAAATTTATAAATTAGATTATACTTTTAAAATACAATTCAAACAGTAAAATATGAATCTAATATTAAAAAAAAAAGAAAAAAAAAAAAAGAAAACAGAACAAGCAAGTCGCCCTAAGACATTGACTGAATGCTATTTGATTATAAGTTGCTACTATATAATGATGTTAACTTCTGTGATGAGGAATAAGAATGGTCCAACATCTTGAAAATTCTCACTTTAAAATCTATTCTTTTGCGGCCAAAAAATAAATATAATTTTTTTTAAGACATTAGAAGGTTAATTACTTGTTATAGTAGAGTTTTTAACATCTTATATTAATTTAAAATTAAAATTTTTTAATTAATAAATATTAATTCGGTCAAATTATTCTTAGTTAATATAACCTTATATTTGCATGATTTAAGTGTGAATATACCTCCAAATATTCATACAGAAAATCTTTGTAACGAATTAGGAATGAACTTTCCGACTATTATATTTTTATTTTTCTTATTAGGACAAGGCAAAAGTAAATGCACATAAATACGGGCTACATTTTTTTCCATATATTAACATAATCAAATCAAACCCACCAAATCGGCAAAGTCCCATCTCTCCGCCACGCTCTCTTCTTCTCCGATGGGACGAGCCACTAATCTCAGGGATCTTCTCGGCAAGCTCAAGGACAAGGTTTCTCAGAGCAAGGCAGCTCTGCTTTCCAACCCCAAGGCCTTGTCCCTCCACCTTGCCCTCCTCCGTGCCACCACCCATGACCCTTCTACGCCTCCCAACCAGCGCTACCTGACCACCCTTCTCTCCTTCGGCAACGGCTCGCGCTCCACCGCCGCCTCTGCCATCGACGCCCTCATGGACCGTCTCCAGAACACCCGCGACGCAGCAGTGGCTATCAAGTGCCTCATCACTGTTCATCACATCATCAAGCACGGTGGTTTCATTCTCCAAGATCAGCTTTCCGTCTACCCATCTACCGGTGGCAGAAACTACCTTAATCTTTCGAATTTTAGAGATAATTCCACCGCCTTGGCATGGGAGCTCTCTTCTTGGGTTAGATGGTTCGCTGAATTTCGTCGAACACTTTACTCTGTTTTTCTCTGTTTCTTTAACTCTCTGTTTACTCATTTACCTCGGGATTGAATCGAAATCGCAGGTACGCTTTATATCTTGAACAACTCTTGGCGACCTCAAGGATTCTGGGATTCTTTCTATGTTCATCTTCAAGAAGTTCGGAAAAGGATAAAGACGAAGAGAACGTGTCGTCGCGATTGAACTGTGATTTACTTAAGGAAACTGATTCTTTAGTAAACCTTCTCGATGAAATGTCCAAGAGAGCCGATTCTTCGAACGAGAATTGTAAGAAGCTGCTGGACGAGGTCATGGGATTGGTGGGTGAGGACTCTTTGTCAGCCATAAACGAGGTTTCAATCCGAGTCAATGAGTTGAAAGAGAGGTTGAGTAGTTTGAGCTTCGGGGACTCAGTCGAGTTGGTGTTTGTCCTGAAGAGGCTGGAGGATTGCAAAGAAAAGCTATCGATTTTTACTTGGAGAAAGAGGGTTTTGATGGAGACTTTCTGGGGTTTAATCGGCGAAGTGAAGGACAAGGTCGGGAACAGTGAGGTGTATAGAGGGGAGGGGAGGTTTTTGACAATGGGAAGCAGAAGGAAGGCTAGTGCGTCGGCTCGGTTCGACGACCGTGTTCCGAGGTGCAATGACTTAGTCCGGTTCTCGTCGGGGATATTGTTGGCCTACACAGATTTGGTATTCCAACCGTAGAGACGGTGCTGGACGGCGGAATTCCGGTGACCGAGGAGATTGTACAGTAAGTTTGAATGGTTTGAGAATTGAGATTATACGC